TAAAAGTCCACCGTGACAGTGACCAGTAAGTACCTCCACCATTACGGCAAGATGTATTTTGTTAAGGGCACGTGTTACACCTTGTCAAGAAGCTATCGGGATTTCCTTATTTCCCCTTCTCATCATCCGCTTATATGGAAAACAGGTAAATTTGGTTTCCTTAGTTCGTACAACTGTCCGTAATTATGATGCCAAGGAATAAAGGTTCGTACATTCATACATAAGCGTTGCTGCTTTGCGTATGGTCCAGTACTGCAACGCGCCACCACAAGAACACGATCTAAGCGGGACCTTTTATAACAAATATAAGGAATTCTGTGTCAGAATACTAACAAAATTCATTGAATCAACAAGGTGTTGGTTCCAAGTATTGCTCTAGGTATAACAACAACGGTTTTCGAAAGAAGAACGAAAAATTAGACAATAATATTTCGGAAACCAACAAAAGCAATAATTCTTTCTTGTCCCTTCGAGATCTTTGATATTGGGAAGAATTATATTGTATGGATCATTTTGTCTACCCTCAGCTAATGCGACCTTAGTTAACGAACCGGAAAAGGAGCAACTCAAAACAGCAAGAATTTTCCGAGAAATCGCACGAAAACGTTGGTAAATTGTAAACAATTAAGCAGATGAAGATAACAGCAGATATAACCGACAAAAAGCAAAACCAACAACAAGCATACTTCCAGCGTGTATGAAAAAGACACCATGGACTACTATAATGTAAGCATTATCCGCGTTGTTGTTTTTGTTTTGTTTTGCCATTGTAGTGATGCCACTATTGACCGTATGGTGAATGTAACACGGCCGTCACTTATTTTTTACCGTTATTCTCTCATTGTTTATACTTTATGTAATAGTTTTTGCTGTCGCTTCCGTTCGACTTTGCGCGGCCAGCGTTCGTGTGCGCGTCAAGTGGCCCATGTTAATGATATCTTTTGTTATTGCTGCTTCCTGCATTGTTGGCATTGTAGTTGTTGTAGCGTAGCCGCCGTGGAACAACATGTTTTGGCGTCAACAGCTGTTGCTGATGTTTTTATGTCAACGCTATAAAGCCGTTGCTGTCAATGTTCAACGGTACTTTGCTATACAGTGCAAGTAGTTGTTGTTTTTGTAGCGTTTTTTTTTTTTTGTTTTTGCAATATGTTTTCTTCTACACTTACGTTATTGTAATAATATTTGTTGTTTTTGCCTTTTGCTTTTTTGTTATTTTTGCCCTTTGCATCTTTTTGTTGTTGTATTTTTTCTCCTTACTTTTGTAGTTGTTGTTTCAGTATCGTCTCTGCGTTACAATATTGCTGCTCATTTGCTGAAGATCGATAAAAATTGCTGAAAATGAATTACTGACTGCTGTTGTTGCATCAATAAGTGCCACTTACACTTACAAATTTATGACATGCTCACTTGCACAAACATACATACATATATATACATTTATCTGTATTTATGCCCTCACACCTGCAGTCATCTTTATCCCTCGCAGCTACTCGTTTAAACTGATAAATTCTTGTAATACGCATTCTGTAGCTGATTTGTGAAGTGCTGCCAGATCTAGCAAAATTATTAGCGGTTAACGGTAAATAAATGTTTGCCAAAGTTGAGACTTTCCAGTAAATTCATATTTTTTTCACTGATATGTTTCGAATAATGAAAGCATTAAGAGCGAGATTTAACGGCATTGGAGAGTGGCGAATCGAACAAATGAATGGACCATACTAGAGAACTATCTTTAATCACCGCTTTATAGAATTCAACTGAATACCTTAATTGCTCTTTTCTGATGTATATTTTATGACAAGAGTTGGGAGTCGAAAACGAAGGGTATAGGGTAGTAGCAAAGTAGGCATAGCCACCATTTCACTGGTTGTTGGGCGTCAGTTTACTCCATTTTAATGGTTAAAATGGGTAACGATTAGTAAAAGATATCGACAAGCACCAGTTTGGAAGCTACTGGAATAAATAGCAATTTTTTACGTTAAGACAATAAATTATTTATGCTTAGGGATTTTTTTAATAAAAAAGTTACTTAAATTACGATGGCTAATGTGCTTCCACTATATTTGGAGACCAAATAAAAGCTTCATCAGCTTTACGCTGAGTTACTCTCCAAAAAAATTGATTCTTCGAAAGTGACGAGTGATTTCATGTGTTATATTCACCTCTTTTACTTTCAAGTTCTATTTTGATATACCTAAGCTCCATTAGTATGTAGAATGTGCAGCCTCCTTTAAGTTGTGAATATACTATGGGTTTTTTTTTTAACTTAATAGTATTTTATAGTAATATGGTTAGTCTTTCTACATGCTCTAATCAAATATTGTTTTTGTGGTCAATTTATAATAATACCGGGTATTTCAAAGTTCAAATGACTATTTTCTTATGAGAGCCCATAATACTATGATAAAACCATGGAAAATTTTGGGATGGAATCCAATCTGAAGCACCTCATATATAGTGTTCTTTGCGACAGATCTGTCTTAGCGGAGTCTGGTAGAGCCAATATATGCCGAAATAAGATAATACCGACATTCCACAAAGCGGCGTACTTTGCGTCGTTTTAGCTAACGACCTATCTAAAGAACTTGAGGAGTGTGGCTGTCGGATGAAACCTTTACGTTGACAATGTTGTTATTATTATTGTTAAAAGAAATTTCTTAAATACCATCTACCTGCTAACTGGAGGCTACCTCAAAATGGTTTCCAACTGGGCGGATAAAAGCGGGTTAGCCGTCAACCCAAATAAAATGATTTTATTTACCACAAGGTATTAGATCCCCAACGTGCACTTCCCCGTGTGTTCTAAGGCTCAGAAAAGCTGGATATATGAAGGTGTGCGGGCAAGGACTCACCGAGATTCTCCCCGCCTTCAATTGCATTCCTGAAAACTTGGATCATTGCATCTCAGAGGTCACTAGTAGTGTCTTTTTCTTTGCTCACATATCGTTGAGGGAGATGTGGATGGGAGAAGTCTCTGGAGAAGAGAGAGATTTATTTTTTCACAAATGGGTCGAAACTAGGAGGGAAGGTTGAAGGGAGAGTTTCCTTTAGGGAACTAAAAATAACACGAAGCTACTTCAATATCAGGCTAGTTTGGCAGCCTAATCAAAGTGGAATCGCTGACAACTGCAAAACGATAAACCAGCCAGAGGTGACACTTTGCCAAGTTCACATCGAACCGAGTGGAATCTGCATTGGCATCCTGAGTTTAGCAATGGGCCAATGGACCTTGCGTACGTTTAGCAGGCACAGTTGGTCGACTAGTTCTTGTGCGACTACGAGTTCATTCTGCCCTAGAGTAGAACGCAAGAGATTTACTGAACTTGCTACTGAGCAAAGTTCGTCTTGCTGCAATTCTTATTGTTCAATGGGCATTCATGTGGTAAGGCTTAAAATCTTGTCGGACACTAGTTGCTAAAGTTGCTCCTCCATTGTCTAGCCTTTGCAAGACCGAGGTTGAAAAATCTTCATCTGTGAGGGTCTTATAATCCAGTATTTAGGCGTTTATAGACACCACAATAGACTGGCGTTTAAAGCTGTCCAAATGAAATCTTCCTTAGCATTAACTTTTTAATCTAACCTAGCTGTTGTAATCAAACGAAATTACCCAATAAGTTTGCCACGAAGCTTCGAACACCAGGAAGGAAAAGTCGGTAGTATATATTTATGCAAATGATTAGCTTGATGAGCTAAGACGATGAAACACTTTATTGTCTATCCATTCTTTTCTTCCAAAAACCTGCTTATTTATTAGAACCGCGGAATTCGAGCCTTTACAGAATATAACTGGCGTCCGAACGGATCGATCAATATCAAATTCTTGTATGGAAAACTTTTTTCTTCGCGAAATTTGGTTTGGAGTATTTTTCAAGATTCCTATAATTTCCGAATATATTGTTCAGTTCTGAGCCACAACCTGTGAGGGGTATTGCAGCTTCTATTCTTGTACTATATTTAATTTTACATTAAACATAAAATTTATTGCTTTTTTGAAAGCGGAATTTCTCCCCTCCCACTCATGATTTATATGAAATATTTGCAACTTTAACTTTACCATCTGGCAACTCTCGGCCAGCATCATATATCATTGCCACCTTTTACCTTACGGTCATTCGCTGGGCACGGCCATTGTGTATATGCTGGCCGTTTGCCTTTTTAACAAGCAAGGCAACAACAGCACAACCAACAACAATAAAGCAATAAATTCAATACCACACGCGAATGCACATCAAATTGGCAATAATTCGTGCAAATTACGTCAAGTGCTGATTTTATTAACCATTCGAATGAACCGATGAAATTGCTGCGGCAACATAAATATGGCAAAAGCGCACGCACACACTTACACTCACATGTAAAAATATATGTATGCAGTGGCATATGCGGGACGGTATGAGAGGATGTGTGCTATGCTTTTTTCGTTATTGTTGTTGTTTGCTGCACATTTACTCGCATCAGTCCGCATATCAAACCTGTAAAGAGCGAAAACAATACCAACAATAACAATAAGAACAAAAATAGCAGCTAAAAACTTTCAACGGCAAATGTTGTACGTAATGAGCGTACGTTTTATGGCAGCGGTTGCGTTTTATTGGCGCACAAATGGAAAAATATTAAAATGCGGCAAACAAAGAAGGACGGACCAGGAATAGCTCTGAGTATAGTAGTCGACACACACATACACACATATTCATACATATAATTGAGTAAATGATTGAATATTTGGTTGGTTGTGCGAAGTATCGCGCTTACTTATGTATGTGTGAGTATATATATATATACATCCATGCGCTCATATACTCGTATTACATGTATATAGGCCTCCCGGTAATGTGCTTAACTTGCAGGGATTTTCGTAGCGCGCTTACTGTTTTATTGCTCAACGCTTACCATTTACCGCTTGCTGATTGTTTACTGCTTACAGTTTGCTCTGTACGGCTTATAGCTTACTCACTTATTTACTTACATACATACTGACATAGTTGAATACTTGCGCTTACCTGTAATTCATGTTCAGCTGCACATCGCCGATGGCCACATTCTCAAATTGCGTCGGACAGCAATTCCAGCGCGCCCAGTAAAAGCTGAAATCCTTGGCATCGTAGTGCTCGGTGAAGCGGCATTTCAACACCAAATCAACACCTTCACGTGTGTCGAGTGATTCATTCGCGTCGATGGCATGTGGCAGATAGACGAGAACTGTGCGTTGAGATAGAGAAGAGAAAAGCGGGAAAAAGTAGGCATAAAAATTAATGAACCCATGGAAATATATTTGAGTGCATCATTTATTTCAATTACATTACGTGTAATGAGAATTGTAAGTTTTTTGTTTTAGTTTATGTACAATTTGAAGAACATTGGTGATCACGTCAGTTCGTTTGGAAAACCTTAAATTGTTCATAATTTTATATATTGTGTTGGGTTTAGGTTATAACGTTTATACTGTTATTCACAGTCCTTTGTGAAGCCAGGTTAAGAAATGCGTGTAGTTGGATATCAGTCAGAGGCTAATTTAGTTAGTTGCTTTACTTCAATTTCCGCTTTTTGACATACATTTTTAAAAGCACTACTATGAGCAAAAAACAGCTAAAAATCAAATGAAAAAATTGTTAAAAATTTTCAAACTTTTAATTTATTCTTTAAAATCTATGTCATCCACTTCAAAGTAATCTCATTTGTGCCCATTACACTTGTGTGGATGTTTTTTGCAATTACGTAACAGTTGTTAAAGCCAATTTCCGTAATAGCCTTCAATGCGTTTAACGTTTCAGTTTTAATGTATTCAATTAACTCAAGACGGTTTCCCCGAACAGTTTCTTCATTAAATAAGGGTACGCTACAAAAGTAGACCGATTGAGACTGCAAACAACGCCATAGTTTTTCCTACGCTTTTGACACTTGTTTTCAAAAATGTTTGCCGTTTTATCACGGAAAGCTCTACGATCTGACAACTAGTCAAAATTATTTAAATTTTCTACCGAAATTCAGAGTCAGTGGCCTCAACTTCAAGAGCGATACGTCCAATTTGTGGTCATCATAATTGACCTGTCAGATAACCAATAGAGCGTCTAGTGGAAAAAATTGAATCCACAGACAAAATGTTCCGGTGCTAGTGGACAAAAAAGCGCATGGGGCCGAGAATAAGACCCAAATCAGTCCCTCACACGTCGTTTTCAATCGTTGCGCACCTCTGTGATATCGTTGTGGCTAATGTAAAGAGATCTTAGAATTTTTCTTGTCTTACCTCTCGTGGAAGGCTCTTTTTCACTGCAAGTTTTTGCAAAGCAGAAATCATCCAATGTCGACTATGAGGTCCTTGATTGAGGAAGATTCAGTTTAGAGTATTCTTAGGTTTGGTTGCTGATCTAGAGGTCGCATGTGGACTGCTTTCTTCGAGAGGCTATAGAAAAGAAAAACTCCTGTGTTCGAACTTATAAATTAGCAAAAAGAAGAAAGGGGCCAATGCAAATTTGCACAATAGTTCAATTTACATTCGCGCCAGTTCGGTCAGATGTCTGAACTTTGCGCTCCCAAGTCTTTAAATCTTGACCTCCCGAAAACGTGGAAGTCAAAAAGAAAGTGTAGAGTTGTTGAAGAAGATGTACTTTCATGCAGCTTCTGCGCTCTGCCTCGGAAAACTCCCAGCCTTACAGCATAAATGCCTATCGGGCAATGGAGTGCTAAAAGCCCCACAACTAAAGAGTGACTAGCCGTTCTGAATTCAAATGGGATCATTAGATCTTTTGCAATCGATTTTGGGCTAAAAGTGGATACGGGAGCACCGATTGGTCCCATTCTACTGATAGGTTCCTTTCATTGCTAGTGATTTCATTTTATTTACGATTTCCTACGATTCCGTTGTGGTCTGACACCCATACTATTCTTATCACAAAGACACTCGATGCTATTTATGCCGAGCTTAGGCACTCCTAAACGCACTGTTTATGAGTTCAAGGCAAGTTTCGCCGCCCTGCTAGCTGAATGGTTTCTCTAGTTCCACCTCATTGGCCGTAACATCGGCTTGAAAAACACTGCAATAAAGTCAGGAAGTCTGAAGCTGGAGTTGATAGAGAGCTCCTGACAATAAACCCCTCCAATAACCTTCCCACCAAGCCTTGACCCATCTGTAGAGATGCCCACCGTCCATCTCTTTCAACTACTTTATCCTACTTATAACTCTCTCGCCCGTATATGGATAGAGAAAGAGCCGCCAGAGTTCGGTTTGGCGTCTGCACGATCCAAGTCATCCGATATGAAGTCAAAGTGTGTGAGGATTTCCGAGTGTTCAGACACGTGTTCTTTTAGCAATCCAGGTACTCATAGTTTTTTGATACAAGAAATTAGCATTTATTTGCTTACTTTCTCTGAAGCAGTCACTAACTTAGACGTGTGTTTATAAGCTCGGCGCTTAACATTTATTATATGTTTGTAGTTTTCCTTATATCTACCAGAAGCTTAGGGCGACATTTGTTTGGCTTCAACAGTTCTAAAAACTTGTATCTCACGCTTCCGGTCAAATTTTTATCATATTTTCTAGCAGTGTCAGTTTGCCAATAATGCACTGAATATTTATTTTCCAATGTTCAGTTGTAGCTGATTTATTTTTGAAGACAAGTAACATAAAAATTGTGTAAGCTCTAGGTCTAAGTTGAAATCAAGATGTGATTGAAAGACTCTCTTCTTGTTTTGATTTAATCAACCAAAGACTGCCCGAACAAAGTGATGATTTCACGAGCTGATTGGTTCGTTCGCTCCATCCTCAACTTGAATCTTAAACCTTTCGCAGGTGCATTGTGGCCACGTATGATAAAAAATTCAAAATGGCCGATTTGATGAAACAGATCAAATGATTTTGCGCGAGAATGAATAATAATTTTAAATTTTTTTGTTTTTGTAAAACATTTTATTAACACTTTCTTTAGCTTTTCTTTAATTAAATTTAAATAAACATAACGGATTTTATTAAAGTTTGCAATACCCAAAAGAAACGCCGGAGACCCTATAAAATACATAAGTACATGCTATGATGACTGGAAAATTCGTTGGCATAAGTGTATTGCAGCGGGCGGGGATTGCCTTCAAGGAGATGTAATGGACAAAATTCACCATTCAATTTGATCACCTGTTGTTCGTCAGTTGCTGAGCTCTTCATGTTTTTACCTTCTCACGAATATTTTAATGTGTCGAAATCACCGACATCGGAACACTATAGCATACAACTGAACGATCGGAATCAAGTTCTTGTACGGAAACTCTTTTCACTTGTTCGCATCGGACCATTATAGGATGGCAGATATGCCATACAAAATGACCGATCAAACTCAAATCTTTGCATGGAGAACCTTTTAATTTCAACCAGAATCTTCCCGAAATTCGCTGTATATTACTTTTTACGATTTTTGAATTTTTTTTTTTTCAGATAGAACAACTAATGTATATCGTTTTAATTCAAACTGACTGATCAATACCATAAAGGTCTTTTTATACCCTTTTAGACTATAAAAAATCGTCCTTTTAATAATGTTAAGCTGCGATGCAGCCAAAGTTTACGTTTTTGCTTGCTTTTCATTCGTTATTGTTAGATTTAGCTTTAATTTAAATTTAAAAAAATCGTTTCAGCGACTATAAAGGTATTTATATATATCTATATTCATACAATGCAATCTGCGGTCATTAGGAGAATAATGTTATGGCAAACCTCGACTATTTGCTGGAAATTCGTTGTATTTTTCTGCACTAACAAAGACACGAGCAAGCGTTGTACTTTTAGTTATGGTTGTGGAATTTATTTTTTCGATATAAATATGGCCATATGAAGGAACACATACACATATTAAGTAATACATATATATATTTGCATACACCTCCAGTTGAATGTAGCATTTTGTTTTATGTACACATGTATAGTCATGTAAATTCATGCAACATTTACGCTCCATCTGCCACAAAACTAACTACTGTTATGTGGCATGTAAAATTTCAATATACCTTTTCCCTTTTAATTCTATTTTATTTGAATATTTTTCTTTCATTTTGCAAATTTTCGAATCAAACACAATACACACACGCACATACACGCTTATGAGTGTGCTTATGCAGGTGTAATTGTATGTGGTATGGCTGTTCGTTTGCAATTAGTTAAGCGCCTGAAATATGAACTCTATGCGCATTTGGGGAATTTGTTGCTCATACGTCACGTTGAGCCTAGTCAAACACTACCGTATGCATACAATATATATAATGCATGGTTGTTGCTGCTACCTGCTGGCTGCTGACTCATTTCGCATTCTCCATTTTCATATTTTAATATTCATTTATATTGCATATAAATTTATTATTGGCTTTGCTTGTACGCCGATTAATGTTTGCTGTGTTAGACATTGCTAAATGTAGCGTAAATTTTATTGAGATATCATTGTGTGCGATTAGCAGTGTGATTAGTTGCAAAGCAAAAATGAAATAATACAACATTGTGGAAATTGTTTATTAATTAGCCCAATGGGAGTAGCGGTGTCAAAGTATTTAAATGACATGTGCATTTATTGTGCAGTTTATTGAAATTGTTTAGAATTTTTGTGTATGGCGGCGAGAGAGAGATAGAGAGAGAGAGGTTTGCTGTTGTTGAATGAGGATGTGGAATATTTTTTTAAATATTAATATTGTGTGCATAAACTGAAATTTTTAAGAATTAATGAATTCTATATTTACACTTTGTTGGGTACAGTTTTGAGTAGTTGCTCTCATTTGTGGCGTGAATTTTGGTATAAAGGCGCTATAGACTCGAGTGCCGCTCTAAAATGTGTAGCAGAGTACAATATTAGTCTACTGAATCTTGAACTGATCATAGTTACCCTGCAATTTTATATAAAAAATGTTTTTTTTTTAATATCTAGCAGTTCTCTGTAGACACTATCAGACTCCTAAATACTTTTTCGCCATGGACGAATCGATCAAGCTTCTTTTACTTTTCTTTCGATCTATGGCAACTAGTTGATGACTAAGAATTCTCACTGTTTTTCCAAGTAAAGCTTTCCTTTTTTGATATGTGGTAACTCTGTTTTGTAATTTGTTTGCTTTAGAATCCATAATAATATATACCTTTACTTTTCATACTTCTATTCTTATATTCTATACAGTTGAATAATATTTTAAGTTATTGTGTTTAGCTACATATAATTTCGGCCATCAGTGGCAACTCTATTAGAAAATATTTTCGAATAAATATACCAATGACTCTTACCAGGACGTTGTGCAGAACACCTCTTATTGTGACAGACTTTCTATCGGAAAGCTTTTAAAATTTTCCAACAGGTGGCAATGCTAATCTCAACTTCTACAGCTACAGTGTGCTACTTCTCAGCTGCAGTGTGCTTCAAAGATTTCATGCAGTTGCTTGGCACCATCTACGCGAACTACGGCAGATGAGGTCTCATTCCGGGGGTTTGGGCGGTGGTTAGGGTGAGAATTGTCGAGAAGACCAGTAAAAGTTATCCGTCTCTCGTCGTTTCCTCTTTCACTGCACAGTGTGAAGTACTTACGGTCTATCCTGGATAGTTCTCATGGAAGTCAAATCACGAAAAAAGAGAAAGGAAGGCATCAATCGACTTATTTTGTTGTAGAAGAACAAGAGGTGGAATTCTCAACAAAAGTAGCGTTCTGGCTCTATAAAAACGTAGCTGAGACAATAAGGTTTTACGATGTCGTTTTCTTATGAATGGCGCTCGGAAAAACACACACTAGCTGAGCACCTGAGGCGTGTAAAAATAGCGACCCTTATTGGTATTTATGGAGCATTAAATACAATTTCAACAATGGTACTCAATACCATTTTACATGGCATCTGTAGACATAGCTGTTGAGCTTTTTGTTTCGAAAACTGTTATTTGGCTTAGAAAAACGAGCTATTTGAGAGACCTCGGCCAGGGATACATAGAAATTCTCTATTACTTCGATTCCATTCTTCACAATGTAGACTAGATCGCGGAATCTTTGTTTGGCGGTTTCGACTCTGCTCACACAGTTGCGAGGAATTTCTTTGAAAGGCAAAATCGTTAAAGAAGAGCTAATAATGAGCTTCTTCACGAATGGGTCGAAGCTAAGAGGGAGAATAGGAGGTGGAGTCTTCTGGGGCTCCCCATCAACATTAGTTTTCAAGTGCAGGTGGCTGTTATCAAGGTACTGCTCCAAAGTGCAGCATTCTCAAGTTTTTTCCATATTATAATAGAATGGATGCCGATCACAGAGGAATCGCTAGAAACTACAAAAGTTACGTGCTTGCTAGGAAAGACACCCTTAACCAAATTTCATCCGACTGGACGAAAGTCGGTTTTCTCATGTCTTGCTACGTTATGGCGCTGGATATTTGGATCACGAGAAACTTGGCCGGTGCGGGTCAACAAACAGAACTTGGACTTTGACGCTTTTTGTCATAGCTGTATGGTGAAAGGTGAGGAGGAATCATCTAGTCACTTTCCACTCTTTTACCCGGATTTTGCCAGACTGAGATTGAAGTAGATACACCTTGTGGAACCTTAACCTACTAATAGACAAACAAAATTGGTGGTAAGCTCAAAACGTTTCGTGAATTCATATGCTGTTGTATTTTAAGGAGTTGTTAGATAACAAAATTTATAAATATCTACTTATCCAAATTTGATTCAACGATTTTGGATCAACCCTATGTACTAGCCTAACTGCACGTCAGTTCAAAGGTACCATTTTTGTTCGAAGATCTTTATTTGATGGACTTGCTGTATGCTCACCTTAACAATTTATAAAAAGCTAATATTCACAAAGATAACCTCGATCCAGAACCTTCATCACCAAATTAACGATAAAGTTGAAGCTGTTCTCGAATTTGGCACGAAATTTTTAGCAACCGAAGGAAACGTCGGACCCCCTAAATAATCATACTGACAAGCCGATTTAACAATGCGGGCCTGCCTGTATATATTCACGAACTAGTCACTCAAGTTTTTATATATATTCACGAACTAGTCACTCAAGCTTTTATACTCTCGCAACAAAGTTGCTAAAGACTGTATTATACTTTTGTTCACATAACGTTTGTTTGTAAGTCCTAAAACTAGAAGAGTCAGATATAGGGTTATATATACCACAGTGATCAGGGTAACGAGTAGAGTTGAAATCCGKATGTCTGTCTGTCCGTCCGTCCGTCTGTTCGTCCGTCCGCGCAAGCTGTAACTTGAGTAAAAATTGGAAGGGACATATTTGGACGTAACTTTTTCAGAAAAGTGGGCGTGGCCCCGCCCCCTACTAAGTTTTTTGGACATATTTCGGAAACTACTATAGCTATGCCAACCAAACTGTATAGAGTCGTTTGTTTTAAGCATTTCCATATACAGTTCAAAAATGGAAGAAATCGGATAGTAACAACGCCCACCTCCCATACAAAGGTTATGTTGAAAATCGCTAAAATTCAGAAACACTAAATTTTACGAAAGAAGTATCAGAAAGAAGCTGCACCCAGGCTTTCTTTAAAAATTGAAAATGGTCGTGGCGTCGCCCCCTTATGGACCAAAAACCATATCTCAGGAAGTACTCCACCGATTTCAATGAACACCCTGATGACATGCACGAAATATGGGTGAAATTGGTTCACAACCACGCCTTCTTCCAATATAACGCTATTTTGAATTCCATCTGATGCCTTCTATGTATAATACATACATTAGGAACCAATGATGATAGCGGAATAAACCTTCACACAAATACGGCATTTGATGCGAGAATATAAAATGTTCGGTGACACCCGAACTTAGCCCTTCCCTACTGGTTTCATATCGATCTGAAAGTTTGCAAACGACTTTTTTTTTATCCAAAAGTTGCTCAGTTGTGGGAACCAACGATATTGGACCACTATAGCATTTAGTTGCCATACAAACTGACCGATCCAACTTGAGTTCTTGACCGGAAAACTTTTCATTTTTAACAAGATATCTGCACAATATTTTGCATAGTTTATTATACAAGAAATCGCTGTAATTTCTGATGATATTGCTCAGATCAGACCGTTGTAGCACATAGCTGTCATACAAACTGATCGATCAAAGCCACGATTAAATCTTTTTATACCTATTATGGTATGAGAGATGAACCTGTGAAGGGTAATATAGCTTCGGTGTAGCCGAA